TTGAACATAGGTTCATAGCCCCGTACAGGCACGAAAGTGTTGGACTGGTAGAGCGGTTTCAAAGAACGTTTGTTGACAGACTTCGAAAGTTGAAATACGCTCTGGGGGGTTCTTGGACGCGTCATGTACCTTTGGCTTTAGAGGCAATGAATTTTTCAAAACATAGTTCAACTGGGTGGTCACCGGTGGATCTTTGGGATGCTAATGAAGAAGACATCAAGCAGGCACAACAGAAGTCAATGACAAGGCGGGAGAAGCGCAATCTGAAGCGAAGAGTATGGCCGTCTTTGTTCTACGAGGGACAAACCGTACTTGTATATGATGAACTAGCAGCTCAGAAACGAGGAGATAAGTTTAGTCCGGTTTGGAAGGGTCCATACAAATTGTTACACCGAGTGCAAGGTTCGTACTGGAAAGCCAAAAAGATGGGGCAAGGAGATGCAGTTTTAGTGGAAGCTGGACGAAAACCGAGATTGGTGTTTCATGAGGATCAGCTGCAAGTCTTTGACAAAGAGTTCCAATGGTCAGGCCATGACTTCTCGTGATGCTGGAGGAGGATGTTGGACAATGACGGAAGACAATTCGGAGTTTTGCGCAGGGTAAGCTGGTGTGCCCATGTTAAAGTTCCCGGAACAAAGCTAATGCAAGACACAATGAAGTCCATGAGAATGGAGTGTGTCTCTGACCGTCTGACTGACCAGAGATGAAGCTGAAAACACGTTGGTTATGCACTCAACAAAATGCACCGAGACAACAAGCTGTTAAGGTGCCAATTCGTAGCGAGCTGCGGCCAGTTCATTAAACCGTTAAACGATTTAGATTACCCGGTTAATGCGGCGCAACATCCGGCGGGCAGTCAGCTGCCGCTTGCGCCTTGGATGCTTCCCGCGCGCGCGACTTGCTCAGGAGTGCGCGGCTGGTCGGCGCGAGTGCGCGGAAAGGAGCGACCGCCGGCGACTGTGCTGGGCGACAGTGGCCGGACGTGGCGGACATCGAGGGACGGCTTTCGAAGCCGATGCGCAGCTGACCGGCGAGGCGGAGGTGTCGAGCCATGGAGCTCGTTCTGGCGGAATGGCGGAGGCGCTGAGCAGTGCGAGTGCGGCAAAGTTGGTCGGAAAGATGGCGCGGAGCAAGAGAACCCTTGCGCGCATCGAGGGGAAGCGCGATGCGTTGTTAAGGGCAGATGAGGGGGGCGCCTTACGAGAAAGGGCGGAGGCGGGCAGTCCGGAGGCCGCGGGCCGATCGTCCCCGGCCGCTCAAGCGGCCTCAGCGATGGCCGTCAGGGAGCTCGTCGTTGAGCTCCGGACGGAGGCGGTGGAGGCGCCGAGGTCGGCCGCTGAGTGGGCCTCCATGGCCATCCGGAGGGCCCTAGGAAACCCCCCCGAAAGGGGGATGCACGTTCCCCCGGCCGGTCCGGAGGGATGGAGCAGCGCGCCGGGGCCGGAGGAAGCGGCGCCCGAGCTGCGCCGTATCGAGCGCGGGCGGGCGGAGCTCGCGAGCGGGCAAAGGCCGCGGGAGGAAGGCTCCGAGCAGTTCGGAGGAAGGAAAGTCATGCACGACGCCCGGATTGGCCGAGCGTCGTGAAATGTAAACTGCAAGGAGTGTTTGTGATTGATAGGAAAAGGGGGAAAACGGTTTGATAAGGGGAAGTGAAGGTAATAAGGAAAGGATATTGTAACCCCTATCAGATGCATGAGAAGTGACCTGTACGCATGCACAAAGGCTTTAGAGGAGGGGGTGCGTTGGTTCTTGGGGTGGTGATGTTTTTTAGTGAAACGGTTGGAGAAAGGTGATGTAACCGGGTACCAAAGTGGGTGAATGATAATGTGATGGAATCCAACGTTGGGAATTCACTCAGGACGCTGCGAAGAGGGTCCAACGCACTGCGAATTCGCAGTGGGAAGTGGCATGTGGAGAGTCCGAAGGGGGGGTGGGGTTGGCTTTTGGCCAGTTTGCCTGAACCGCCCCAAACGGACGACAACCAGAGCTGTGAGAGAGCGCTGTGGAGCTGCAGCCAAGGCGCAATCCGTCGTTGGTGTTGACTGGCGGGGCTGGACGGTGTGGCGTTTTGGGAATCGCTGATCGAAGTGAAGAGTTGGTGTTGGGAGTGAAGTATAGTGACGGGTGAAGTTGGATCTGTGAGAAAGGGAAGTGGACAAAGTGAAAGCGTTCTGTGGTGTTGTTGAGCGTTGTACAGACGTTGTGTAAGTCCTGTAGGTTGGCTGCCTGCCTGATTGAGCATCGTGATTTTGAGTTCCAGACAGAATTGTTGAGCCGTTGTTCTGACCGACTCCTGGCTGGAAAAAGGTGGCCGGAATCAAATTGCATGTCCCTTGAGCTATCTCTGAAGTTGACTTTGGAAGTCAGCTGTGTTCCCCTAGCACAGCAAAGTCAGGAAACGGTAAATCCAAGGCAAGTGTCCTGCTGCCCCTCGACCGCTGACCAGGAAAGCAGGAAGCAGCGGAAAAGAAGGCGTGAGGTGGCAGAAACTCCAGAGAAAATTGAAGGAATCCCTTTCCTGAAGAGAGCGGCGGTTGAACGTGTTTGGGTGGAGCAGAGGAATCTCCCACCGCATATCCTTTCAGTGCCAGAAGTCCGTCACCTCCCCTTGGAAGTACAATCCTTCCTCGCTGCTCATTGGGCAGATTGTGAGTGCTCTTTTCAGGAAGCCGGAGACTTCATACGACAGGAACTGACAACGACTCTGCGGGAAAACAGAGTGGTGCGGGCGGCTGCTTCAGGAAAAGTGGACAAAGAGGGGGATTCTGATCGGTTTGGCAACAGAGAGGTGGAGGAGAATTCCAGCTCAGGGGAAGAGATCCCTTCAGATTGTGAAGTACAGGGGAGTTGTACGGAGGGTATTTCGATTGGGGAGTGAATGTCTGGGGGTTGTCTTTGCTATAGTGACGATATCGTGGTGTGGACAAGTGGAGCAAGGGTAGTGGTGATTGTCCAACTGTGTTTGATTGAGGGAACAGTCGTTGTGATTGTTGTGGTGAAAAACCTCTTGTAAAACTCTTTTGTATCAAGGGGGTGGTGTCTCAAGGGGACCGTGACCTACTGGCCATATCATGGCGGTCACAAACAGGGTCCTTCAACACATTCAAAACAGAATTTCGGCCCCTCCTATGCGCAAAATGGTACACAACGCCCAAACGCGAAGTCGAGGTCGAGCACCTGTCAAGCTCGAACTTTGGACTTTGGAGTTTTCTGAAATCGTGTATTGTAAACTCCGTGCACACCACTCTCGGCATCGCTTTGCAAGTGCAAGGGTTGTGTTTTGTCGGCATTTTGATAAACTTGGGTAAAACTTAGCGTATGCCAAGGCTACTACATAATCATGCGTTATGTTGAATTGTGCGAACCCATTGTTTATGCAAAAGCACTTCACTGCTGCATTTGAGACTTCCAGAAACACAGCTGTGAGAACTACGGATAGTCTAGACGCATGTCAAAATGAAAATGTTGGTGCGGCCCCTCCTTGACTCAGGGACAACAATGACTGGATAACACACAACAGCTGCAAGAGATAAATGGGCAGCAGTTAATCAACTTGTCTGTAAAAAAGCAAGCTGTGGTCGCACGCAAAATGGGACCAAGGCACATAGGACCTTAAAGCTTTTGGATTCCTGCGTGTTTAGGGCCCAATTTGTGGGGGATCACAGGCCGCTTTCCATACGTATTTACAACCCTTTCAACCTTTACGGAATTTTCAAGATGATTGTATCCAAGATATACAGTGCTGAGGGGATGCAGAAACTCACGAATCCAGGGTTACTCCTGCAACAGCTAGGTCTGCCACTGCGCCTATCGTTGCCATTGTTATCCTCGGACGAGCTGGGGAGCCGACAGCTCCTTGCCTTGCTGTGTAATATGACTGGAATGCTGTCAGAATGCAGCGAATTCTTCCATTATAATGCTATGAATTCTGCTGCTTGAATTGACCAAAGTTTACTGTCAGACTTCACAGTCTTGCTGCAAGCATTCAGACCAGGAGCGCTGCCTTCCGGCATCAACAGTTGGCACCAATGGGAGCACCGCCATTAGTGCTGCCTCTATCATGACAGGTCTGCTGCAGTTCTGGACAGCGCTCCTTGCACCGCTTGTTACCGCCGCTCCTGATCCAAAGCATATTGTCGTACAGATGACCTTGTCGCACTCAACAAAGCAACGCTGAAAGCGGGTGGGTTACCAAGCGCGCCAAGCCCAACGGATACCTGTCCATCGGCGTCATCTGTATGCACCGACACATACGGTACAGCGACATCCGTTCCATCCCGTGAAACCAGGGCACCCGATTCGCATCAGTGTGCGCACCGCACCCGGCCCGCATACGGCTGTCGCGGGCCCTACATCGGCCCCCGACTGCTTTGGGCCCCTGACCGAACTACTGCGCGCCCCAGGCGCATAACCCGCGCAACTGCCGCGCCGGGCACTGCAGTGGGACGCGCAGGGCCCGTGGCCTCCGGACCCCCACCCACCCCGATTCCCCTTCCAGCACTCCATTGCCCCGTCGGCCCGTCCAGCCGCCCACAGCCCCACGCACCGCCGCGTGGCTCCAAACCGCCGCATCCCCTTCGGCGCATCGATCCGCCGAACGCACTGGCAGCCGGGGGGCGGCCCGGATGCCTGCCTGAGCGCCCCCCGGTCGCATGGAAACCCGTTGCTCCAAGCGGGTGGACAAGTCGAGCCCCGAGCGAGCATCGGAGCAGCCGCGCGGCGCCAAGCGGCCTCGCCACCAGCAGCGGCTGGCGCCCCCGCCCGCCAACCCCCCCGGCCAGGGATCGAATCCCGGCTCCCGGAGGCGCGAGCTGCCCCAGGGCGGGGGATCGCGCCAGGGCGGCCGGACGCGATCGGCCCGCCGGGCGGCGGCAGCGGTGGGGAACCAGGGGTCGAGCGCGGGCGGGGGGGGGCGGGCCGGCGAGACGGGGGCTAACGCCCACCGGAGGGGCCGGGGGGAGGAGCAGCGGGGCCGGGCGGGGCCCAGCCAGCCGCCCGGGATGGACCAGGGCGCCGGGAGCAGTCGCGGAGGAAGGGAGGAGGAGGAGCAGGCGGCGGGGGGCAGCGAGGCGCAGGGGAGCGGGAGCGGGAGGGAAGGGCAGGTCTGTGCTTGTGTGTTATGATGTGTTGCAATCCCAAGAACCATGCTGAGGAGCACCCCCGTCCTGGTAGCAGAATAATATGGGGTCTTTCCGCGCGCGTGTGTGTCTTTGTGTGAAGATGTATTACAAACCCAAGAAACGAAAGCGTACAAAGGAGCACCCCCGTGTGCGTGGGAGTGTGGGTGGGTGGTGGGGATCGGGGTGGGGAAGGTGGGGAACGGCAGTGACAGTGGGGAGTGAGCTGGCAGTCAGCGGTGGGGGGCTGGTCGTTGTGCTCAGGGAATCGGTGATGAGGAAGCCTATTGTGGGGTGGTGGTGAACTTTTTCCTCGGATTGGATGGAATATCGACGTTGGGAGGGGTTGTCTTTTTGATGGCTGTTGACCTCCTACCAAAGTGTCCACAACCTCAGCAACTGTTGGTGTCGACCCAAGTTTGGGCAAGACTGTGCATCGTATCTTTTGGAGCAGCGAGCTTCATATCCAGTATGGGGTTTCTTTATTGTCGATCTTAGCCAATGCAAAGATTGTGGGCTGATTGGGAGGGTTTCTTGGCACAGGAACCAAAGAACGAGCAGCAACCTTCTCGGCCAACAACATCAACACGGGCTGGGTGGGTCCGGGTGGCATGCACCACTGTTATACCACCATTGTGGCAGTGGGTCCAGTGTAGTTGTTGTCAATGCCAATGTTTCCTTTCTTTGATTGCCATTCCATTCACAGGGACAAGGCGACACCTTTGCATTCATAAGGCCATGACGGGCCTGTCCGCAGTTTGCTACTGTTGTACTGTGTCTAACAATAGCTGAAAAAATCATGCTTTGGGCACCACTACCTGGCAAGAACTGGCCAGCAGTTGGTGCATTGCAGTGAAGGTTGAGGGGCAGGCTATCGAATTTTTCAACTGTGTTTATTGGAGGGGAACGATACCCCAGATGGATAGAAAGGAAGCTACTAATTGAATAACAGCATGATCCAGGGGGCATCGACAGGTGAATGTTGCCTGGCTGTGCCTGAGATTTGTTGAATTTCCTTACAGGGATATCCAGGTCTTATTGCGCAAGATAGGTGCTGAATTTCGTGACACCATGGCTTTCAGCGCTGGAATTGCAACTCGCAAGCTGGAGGTATGCAGCTGATAGCTTTGTTTCCCCATGATGCTGGGTCTCTGGATGACTGCAGAAAACTGATTCCGCTGCTGCATACACAGGCCATCCTCGAGTCACTGAAGTCCGATGATCTGTCAGATCAGCAACAGGGCCTCCAGGAGCTGTGCCAGTGTGTCATGATGTCCTCTGACGACTCACTGGCCTCAGCTCCTCAGCTTGGCGAGGTCATCCCTCTTTTGGTGAGTTCATTCTGGCTCTGCCTCTGCTGTGATGACCACTGTTTATGATTGGAGCTCACGTGGAAGCCATGGATGTGGAGATCAGTGTCGAAAGACTGTGGAACTAGAAGGTCACCAACAGAAATGCAGCATTTCAAACGATATTCTGTGTGACATGCATTCATGGGCAGGGCTGTGCTAACAAAGCTGGTGCTTTGCTGTGATTGACAGTGCGATCATGGTGATATGCTGAGTTGAGGCGATTCTGATAGGGTTCAACTGTGCTCCAGAATGCTATGCTCGCAACTGATTGGATATGTTTGTGACTTTTGACAGGTGAACTTCCTAAGCTCTGACAGCTTTGAGCTGATGCTGTACTCTGCCCGGTCTCTCAGATACTTGGCAGAGAATCTGCCAGGTTCATGTCGACAGATGGTTCAACTGGGGGTGGTTCCTGCCCTGAGTGCTAGCATGCTGGCAATACGATTCATAGATGTTGCTGAAGAATCACTATCAGTGAGTCTTGTGTTGGGGGCATGCAGTCCATTGGCCCCCTTGACAAGTGAAAATTTGGCAAAAATACTGAGCAGGCTTTTGTTGTTTGAAGCGTTTGGCAGCAATTATCCAACAACCTGAGTAATTGGGCAGATGAGTGTGCTGAAGATGTGGCTGTCCTGATCTGAAGCTGAATTTTCTTGGCAACTTGGTGAGAGTTTGTGATTAGTATGTGCTCTGCCTGAGTCGGTATCAGCTGCTGTCTTACTGAGTCAACCTGGTTGTGTTCTTGGCAACATGTGCTGCATGTGTGTGGTCTGCTTCCAGTGCAAAGTGCAGGATTGGTGGCTTTGTTATTATGGAAAGGGTAATTCTTGGATTTGTATGATGGTGTGTGCTGATACCAGCCAAGCTGTGGATTGTGACAGTTGTGTTGGTCTGGCAGGCGCTCTTCAAGATATCGAAAGAGGAACCTAAGATATGCCTTCAAAGTGGGGGAATGACAGCTGTAAGTACTGTGGCCCAATGCCGTGGCCTGCTGCCTGTGCGACCCACATCTGCAAGTTTCTCTTGATCAAGCCATTGTTGAGCTGATAGGCGGTTGTTTCTTTTAATCTGTTCTCTCTTGCTTGCGCATTGTGGTCAAGATGTTGCTTCCTCCATGTGGCCTGATTGGCCAGAGATCTGTGGACTGATTGCAGGTTCTTTTGCACATGGAGTTTCTGGACTCTGGCATGCAGCGCATAGCTGTTGAGGCTGCTGCAAACATGTGCAGAGCAGTCACCCCAGACACTTTTGAGATGGTACAAGACCAGCTGGAGAAACTTGTGACATTGTTGAAGTATGAGGTATGCTCCTCGCAGCATGCTATCCGCTCAGTGTTCTATCCTGAGAGTGTTGCATTGCACATCCATCCTCCTGTCGGAACTGACTGGCATTTCACTTCCACCTCTTGTTTTCCACAATGGCAGTTCGTTTCTTCTTGCAAATGTGCAATGTTTGAATTCTGTCATTGTTTTCCTCCTTGTGTACGTTGATTGTGACATGTCACAACATTGACCTTGACTCCATGCCACCTCACCTGCTGCATCACACACCATCACCTCCACACACCATCACGCACATCACAGTTACCAGGGTAATGGTGTCTCTGAAGTGTGTGTGGCTTCCTTTGCGAAGTTTCGTCAAGACCGGAATGAAGCACGCCATACAATAGGCAACACCCCAAGATAACTTGAAGTGTCGTTGTCTATCCAGGACACCCACCTCGTGGAATGGTCATGCACGTCGCTGGTGCGCATATGTGAGGCCATCACCGCGAGAAGCAATCTGATTGGTGTGCTGGTTGAGTGCGGCGTTGTTGAGCCAGCCATTGAGATGGTAAGTATTGGCTGTATGCCCTATCTCTCTGGGGTCTCTTTTCGTTGGACGAGTGCTGGATATTGTTGCGTGCAATGACAATTTTTGCTCTCAAGAGATTGTTTGGGATTTCGTCAGTGATGCGCTCACCATCTGTCTGTGCACTTGGAAGCTGCGATTTGAAGTCTGAAGACCTGGAACTCAGTCTGCAATTAGGCTGGGAATGTGCATAGTATTCATCCCCACTTCTTCTCTATGCTTGGATCCAAGAAATGGATGCATTTAATCTGTTGGCCTTGGCCATTTTGGCTGCACCTGTCAATGATAAGGGCCCCTTGCTGGCATCTGAAGCAATATGTACGTATGAGGCGAAAATGCTGTTGCTGTGATGCAGATTGCAGTTGAGGAAACTGGTGGCATGGTTGCCCCACTGTCGCCTGCCACATACTTTGGCCTCATCCGTTTGCTGGCCATATGTGCTGCAAGATCCCACATGGTCGCAGAGACGTTACTATCTTCTGGAATCTCTGACACGATGCTTGCTTTGGTTGGAAATTCTGGTCTGATTCACACGGGGGAGAGTGGAGGGCTTGTGCGTACGCATGAGCACTTGTCGGATGTCCTGATGCTCATTGACAGCGTCTTGCCTGCGGTTGACAAAGCGGGAGAGGATGAGGAGGGTTCAGAAAATGTAGCCCAGCACAGGCAGTTTGTGACTGAAAATGCCAGTCTGGTTAACAAATTCGGCCAGGACATCCTCCCGCTGCTGATGCAAGTTTCCAACACTGTGCACTTGCGGCCGAGGGTCCTGTCGATTATGGCCAAGGTGGTGCACTATGTTGATGTCACCACATTGGGGGAAGTGATTCAAGGCCTGGCTGTCTCCAGCCTCATGGCATCGCTGCTGGTGTCTCCAGACGACCAAATTGTGGGCCAGGTGGTTGGGCTTGTTGAGCTTCTGATGGAAAAGCTGCCAGAAGTGTTTGCCACACAGTTCATGAAGGAGGGCGTTGTGCATGCGATGAATAAACTTTCACAGGGCGCCAATAAAACGGACCCTGTGCACCCTTCCACATCCGAGGCTGGTCCGGGTCAGCCACCCTCTGCCCTGCGGCAAGACTCGGTCGGACGTGCAGAGGTCTTCTTGTCGAGACACTTTAGTGATGTCGCAAATGGAACTGAGCCAGAGGAGTTGCGGCACCTGCGCGACCTCAGCATGCGTCTTGCAGAGCCGCAAGCACTGCATGAGCTGCTCACAACGCTGAAGGCAGACAAGGGCTCACGTGTATCTGTGTATGAGTTTCTTAACAGTGGGGTAATCGCTGCGCTAAACACTTTTCTGCGCGTGGATGGGAACAAGGGGTTCCGCAGGAATGTGGCAGAGAGCATGCTTGTGAATGTTAAGAGCTTGGTTGCTGCCAGTTTGGGGCCAGAGGCCGGTGATGAACCACTGCTGGTGTGGCTGGTCCGCAAGCTTCGGGATGCCCTCATGGCCGTTGAGGAGTTTCCTGTGAGAACAATGATCGCCCGTAGGGTGCGGGTTCGCAGTTCTCTTAGGACAGGTGCGAAGGTGTCATTGGGGCTGGAAGGAATCCAATACTCTGGATCTGGGCTCATGGTGTTCTCTTGTCTTTGATCGTGAGTGAAGAGCATGCCATATGTGCATCCATGGTTTTAGGAGGATGCTAATCTAAACTTGGCAGTCATCACTGACTGATCCTGATCGCATAGCTGCAGATCTGGGACCAGCATACAGCATCCGGTCACGCCCTCTGGCACATGGAGCCGCCAGTTTCCACTGCCAGGGTAGAGAGACACAGTTCATCATTGGTTCAGTGAAGTCCTGTAAATGGCCAGCATTCCGAGGGACATTTGTTTGTGGTTGAAAGGGCATTTCAAGTTATAGCCCACCAGCATCTGGCTGAGTCTTTCCTCTCCTGTTCTTGGTGTCCACCAGGTGAGGCTGACCAGAGTCACAGGCTTTGTTCCATCGGTGTCCCGCTGAAGTTGAAGCTTGTACGTCATGAAGAGGAGGCTGAGTTGAAAGATTTCAACAAGGATGCAAAGCAAAGTAGTGAATTGAGTGTGGAGCCGATGGTGACCATGCAGGCTTTGGAGGATTGGCTGATTCAGAGAGTTGTTTCCAGCAGTAATGCTGATGCTGATGCTGGGCCCAGTGCTGCAGCTTCCACTTGCAAGGTGAGTGTTGCCAACTGATGTATGGCTGCAGGCACTGCCATTGTCTGCGCTTTGCAGACAACATGGGAGATAGAGTGTGTACTGCACATGTTAGGTGGTCAATGTCGACAGTGTCTAACAGCTTTGCCACACTAGTTGTGGTGGTGGAGTTCATTTTTGTGGCTGATACACTGTTCGTGTCTGTTTCTGTGTTCGTGTTGTTGGTGACTGGGGTAGTGTATCAGAGGGGGCATCTGTGGGTGCAGAAGGCAACTAGGATCAAGGTTTCAACCTTTTACTGAGCTCTGTGCTTGTGCCATTGGAGAAGGGGAGAGGCTTCCAATGAACGACTCCTTTGCCAGTAGCTCTTCTGACTCCAGACTCTGGCAGAACGGGCGCTCAAAACTTTTTGCTTCTTAGTTGTGCGTCAAGGCTCTTCATGCTGCTAGAGACGATTTTAACCATTGTGCTCAACTTTGATGTGGGTACCTGTTGTTTCCTTCATGCGGTGTTTCTCATTTCTGTCTGGAAGTTACCCAAATGCTGCACTATCACCCGACAAACTGCTGTTGGCGCTCAAGGGCTGTGGGCACACAAGCGCAAGTTTCAGGCTGTGACAGGTCTCAGATCCTTATTGCCGTTCTGGCCATGCAAGCACTGTGCTGATGCAGGGAGTGCATCCTGGGCAGAAATGCTGGAAAAACTGGCAGAATGAAGAGTTTTGTGTTTTCTTTGCTGGGTTGCTGATATGGACATGTGCATTTGTCCAAGGCACATGTGTGGCTGCCCACAGTACTGCATGTGCCGTGGACTTGTTGACGCATCTGGGAATAGCTACTGCCTATTCATTGTTGTTGCCATTCGCAAACCACTGTCTGCAGTTCTGATATGTGCATTCTCTTGCAGTGCCACTTGTGAGTGTCGAATCGGGTGCGCAGAGCATGATTTCTTCCATAGCAGTTCGTTCTACACGATGTGGTGCAGATGAAAATGCGCTTTCACTGTCTGGTAGCGCTGCTGATTGTGTAACCTGGCAATGCACAGGACCAGCAAGCTGAGGAGGCAAGACCATCTTCCTCAAGACCCACCAGAACTGGAGGTGAGGTATACTGGACACAAGAATATGCAAGGGCCATGCCACAACAGCCAACAAGCAGCCATGTCCAATAATTGAAGATCTGCTGAGAGAACATGATAGGCCAGATGACCCACCCAACCTTGACCAGAGTTGTGCGCTTGCGTGTATCTCATGCAGCAGGAAGATTTCCAAGTTATAGGCAGGGGATATGACTGTCTGGGCTTCTCTGCTGTCATTGATCCATCCCAGCCTGTGAAAAGTCCATGCAGCAGATTATATAGCCACAAAAAGGCGTGTTGCTGCAGGTTCCCCTCTGGTTGCCAAGGACATGTGTGTCGTGATATCTGAGGAAGCATAAACTATTGACTTGGATGATTCGTCCTTGAAGGCACAGCTTGCTGCTTGCTTTTTCGATGGATGTCCTGAAAGCATTGCATAGGCCTGAAAGTGGCAACGTTCATCGGTGCCCTTCACCAACAGTCGGTTACTTTGGGCTTCACACTGCCAATGTCATAAGTTTTGGCGCTTAATCACAGCCAAAGTGAAGAATATGGCGCACACCTGAAAGTCACAAGCAGCAGTTGGACATAAATACAGCCAGACTTTCATGGTCCATCGTGTGCTTTGTAAGGCATGTGTACCGATTAGCCCAAAAAACCCTTTCCAGTGTTCTGGCATTGTTTCCTCTTCGTTTATGACAGACGTGCGCATTCTTTATAGCAGGGATGCTAGTGTTTGTGCCTGACATGTGCTTATGTTTTGTGAGCAGCTTATGTTTGTCTGGGTATTGTCATTTCCATTCTTAGGAACTCCATGTTGTGCTTTTTGACAGGGAATGCTGTGGCAGATGGGACGGGGAGTGCCAGAGGTCCCAGCCGTGTAATGACAAGGGCACAGACAGCAAGGCAACGTGAGCGTTCTGGGTTGGAAGGCCAGGGTGACGCGATGTCTGAGGACGACCAGGATGCAGTTGCAGAGGCTGTGGATGTGGGTGAGGTTATTGGGGACGATGACAACATGGACGAGGACAGTGATCCTATTCAGGAGGGGGGCATTGACAACGAAGATGATGACCTGGATTCTGTGTCAGAGGATGAGCTGTCTGAGGATGGGTGAGTTCATTGCCCGATGCCAGGCATGCGCAGGGCCGTGGATATTGAGAGGGCAGCTTTAAGCGTAGTTTCACAGCATTAGCTGCGTGCTGAAGCGCCCACTGGCGTACAGCTCATTCTAGCATTACCTGACAAGTCTACGATGCAGATTTGAATTTAGGTTGAATGTGTGGCTTTGTGCAAGGCCCCTGATCTCTGCTTGGGCCATGAGCAATGTCGCGTTGTGGTGTTTGGTTCAGTGACACAGTTCAATAATGTAGGGGGCATTTACCCGGCCTTATTGTGCGACGCTATTGGGAAGGTGTTCTGGCTGCCATTTGTGAGGGGCCAATCCATTGCATGGAACACGTGGGCTTGATCCATGAGTGCAAATATCTGTGCCACATTGTGTTGGCCCATTCCCCATTGTTGTTAAAAAAAGGTCTGTATGCTTCATTGCAGCGAGCCATGCCTTGGTGAGCCACATGGGTTGATGTCGTATGCCCAGGCAGCCCAAGTGGGGGCTGGAGCACAGCCCAGGATCATGTTCCAGCTTGGAGATGTTGCCTTGTCACCTCAGACAACAGTGTACCAAGCGGTCAGGGAGGTAGGCTAGTTGGTTGTATCAGTGTTGAAAGGGGGGGGCCAGAGATACTGCTGGCTTGGTTTTCCCCATGTGTGGTGGAGTCTGTTGTGATTTCTTTCAGAGATACGACAAGGCAACCCCCTTGCATCTGTTTGGCAGCTAGTGGCGTTGTGGCCTTTGCAGGTCTTTGCAACACCTGTTACTCTCAAGCCAAAATCCTTTCGGCACACTAAGACACTAATCTTGTGGCGCTCTCTTCTGGAAGATTCCCATGCTGGAGCCCAAGTTCATGCAAACTGCTGCCCTTAAACAAGATGCACACAAGCGTGCAAGAGAATCAGATCCAGAACAGATGTGTTTATGATTCATTGACACAAACAAGCTTCGTGCAGGCAGGCCGTACAAGGACAACGACATAGATTGACCATTGTCCATCCCTTCTTTTGCTGGCAAGTAGCAGAGAAATTAGATTTGGGTGGTCTGAGGAGGCAACTGCATCATCTTAGCGGAATGTCTGAATAAAATAATTTCTTTCCTGAGTTGCATGGCTGCAATCCAGAGATCAAAGTTGATATTTCTGTTGACTGATGGCCGGTAGGCGATTTTCCAAACACAGACAAACAGCGGATGTATCATTTTACAAGGTCGTGGACATAGTGCCCTGAAGCTGTTGTTGAATGCGTCTGTTTTGAGCAGTACCTTGCAGCTCAGCATGGGCTGGAGGAGGATGTGGAGGGAGACTCTGAAAAGGTCGCTACTTGGCAACAGTGCTTTGAAGAGACTTTCAGCTTTAAATACAGAACAGCCCCCCCAACGGATGGTGCCAAAGAGAGGAGGGCAGCCAAGAAGAGGCACACCAGCAGGTGGGAAAATGAACTGTTGCAAATGCTTGTGGTGCTGATGCAGGATTGCACCTGTCCCATTTGAGCACACGTTGCACCGCTTGCCAGCTCTCATTTCTTTCATTTGAAGAGATAAGGCCTGGTCACAAACAATTCGAGGGGGTATGTCATAAATCATTGCGATTCTTTGCCCTGCCTTCTCGTTTGGTTGGATGTGGTGACAGCATGCAAGAAAAACGTTCTTGTGTTGGGTACAAGCGCCTGATGTTGCCTGGAAAGTGCTGAGGGAAAACTATGTTGCAAATGTGTAGTCAATGCAAGCCTGTATATCCATGCCCCATGCACAGCAATAACACTGCTTTGAGAATCACCAGCTGGCCGTATATCGCCATATGCGGCAAATAAAATTTGTTGTGCTGACGGTGCAAATGCACTTGACCTGCTGCAGACAGCAGCCTCTCCCTGTGGCTGTACTTGGCCGATTGCCGCTGCCTGAGGACTTGAACGTCAGCACTGAAGTTTGGGATGTGTTGGAGCTCATGAAGAAACTCGACACCATAAACCAGCTAGCGCCAAGGTGGCTTCCAAAAGTGAGTCTTATGTGCTTGTTGTCCTTTTCCCCCACTTCCAGCTTTGTTTTTGCTTTCCATTGGGGCATGCTACTTGTTCACAGTTGGATCGCACCTGCAGTTTGCAAAAATCAACTGCAAGCATGGAGCTTAGCTGAGCAGCAATCTTCATCCTGGTGGATTGGAACCAAGGCCATATGCCTTGATTTTGCAGTTGTTGGTGTTGGCTGGTGTTGCTGGTTGTGCTGATGGTGCTACGTCTGATGTCCCTGGTTGGCTGGTGTTTGACTATTCCTGCGTGTCACTTGGGGCTATGTATGCTGAACATGCTTTCTCTTCCATTATAACGGTGCCCACTTGTGTGACTGTTCAAACTCTCTGAGTCTGTAAGTACTGTCTTGATGTACACACTGCCTATTTTTACCCAATTTTATGGCTATTCGCACATAAAAAAGTAAAATCCATTTTTACGTGTAAATAGCTGTAAACAGAAAGTGTTTACGCTGCAAACAACAAGCTTGTTCACACCCAATACGATTGTTTGCACTCTTCTGTGGCTGTCGCACTTTGGGCTGTTTGTGTCATTCCTGTTGTACTCAGAGAAAGCTGTGTCACTTTTGACAACATGGAAAGTACCTCATATTGTATTCTTGGTTAGGAGATCAGTGCCTGTTGTTTGACAGATTTCCATTGTGCTGAAGGACGATCCTTGTCTTGTTGCTAATTTCCTGAATAGTCGCATTGTTCTCGTCCAGGACACTACTGGCAGCCGCATGGTTTCAAGGAGGGAGTTCATTTGCTCGAAGGTGGCCTCAAAAATCACCCAACACTTCAAAGATCCTCTGACAGTGTGTGCCAGGACCATGCCACAGTGGACACACCAGCTGGCAAGCTCTTGCAAGTTTCTGTTTCCGTTTGAAACCCGCAGGAAGTTCTTCTACTGCTCACGTGTCGGCCTGCCACACATTCTGAAGTTCTTGTTGGAAGAGCGCAAAGCTGCATCGGGCAGTCCAAGCCTAACCATGAACGTGATTCGAGATGACCAAGGCCGGCTCTCAAGGCTAGCGCAGCTGAAGGTGACTAAGGTGACCATGAATAGGCAAGCACAGGCAGGGTGCCCGTAAACATGGCTGTATAGGTCGTTGCCATCTCCCGCTATTGGTGCTGTGTTATGAATACGCTATATTGTCTGTTTGCCATTGGATTTAGCACATGTCAGGTGCGGAGTGCAGCTGGAGCAGATGTAGTTGCTCACCAGAGCAGACTTGTGACCACAGCAAATGTGCTGCAGCGATGAATCTTGACGCATTCACAGCCACAGCATCCACAACTGGTACAGCAGTGCTTCTTGGAGCCTTGCTTAGGAACGCCTTGATTGCATGCTGTCGAGTTGTGAGAATTGATCTCCCTGATGTCTATTTTGCCTTTGGTGCCTCTCTGAGCCACCTTTGGGGCATTGTTCTAGTCTTTATGTTTTGTTCCCAGTCGATGGTATTTTCATGTTGTGTTGACGGTTGTTGCTGTGGCATGAGCAGCAAGTGAGGGTTGCCAGGCGTCATTTGCTTCCAGGAGCAATGAAAATAATGGAGATCTATGCCAAGATGCAAGGCCACGAGCTTGAAGTGCAGTTCCTTGGTGAGGAAGGCACAGGCACAGGGCCAACCCTCGAATTCTACACACTGTTGTCACATGAGCTTCAGAAGCGCAAATTGAAGATGTGGCGAACAGAGGATGCTTCGATGCACAAAACCTCAGCTGGAGAGGGAGAAGATGGTGACAACAGTGTTGAAAGAGGACCAGGGTTGGACATTCAGGAACATGTCTACGCCCCACAAGGGCTGTTCCCGAAGCCCATTCCACAGGGCAAGGTCCACAAGAAGGTATTGCACTTGTTCATATTGGCGCATGTATCTTTGCATCCAGAAACTGTGAGGCACTGCTCATTGTGCAGGTGCCTGCCTCTTCGTCCATCTGTTTCAATGATCCCAGTAGTGGTGCTCCTGACATCGTATTCATTTGCTGGAGCCTGAACCCAAGGTTGCTATTCATGCTGGCTGAGTCCCCTGGGTTGGCATCGAATGCCATGTTGGAGCCCTCCTGTTGGCAGATGATCCATGGATAGAGTGGCTCAAATGGTCATTTAAGCTCCATTGATCTCAATATGACTTCTCATTGTCTGGGCACCTGGAAGGCTAAATTGTGTGCTGTGCAGAGGTGTAGGTCCCTGACATAGTGTTCACATTGAACTTTGAGGAGTGTTTGGATCCTGCATGTCCTGTGCACATGCCATGAGTTTGGATCAGGACCACAACTAACTGTTCCTCTATTATCTCAGATCCTTAACCACTTCAAGCTGTTGGGTCGAGCCATGGCCAGGGCTCTCCTTGACCAGCGACTCCTGGACATGGACATCAACCCCCTTTTCTTCAAGGTGGCCCAAGGCGAGCCTGTGGACCTGCATGACATCAAGGAGATTGACAATGCTCTGGGCGTCACACTGGAGAAGCTGCAGGCCGCACTTGAGTCCTGGAAGGCCGGAGGTCGCAGGGGTCCCATCGCGGTGGAAGGCACTGCTTTGGATGACCTGTATTTGACCTTCACTCTGCCAGGTTGCTCACACTTTGAAAGCTGTGTTCCACAACTTGGAAGATGACTGCCCCTTGCTGTCAATGCCACATTTGAATCAACAACTTGGACAAGCAGCAATGGCACATCCTCTGCTGTGATGATAAGTCACCAGACTACATATCCACTGCCAAACAGGACCAGACCTCTGGACTGCATTTTCACCAGACGCCAACTTGTTTGGGTTCTGCCCTGGTCATTGTGTGCTGTCATGAGGAGTGTGTTTTCCTGCTTTTGCAGCATGCTGGACAAACCCGACTTCCTGTTTATTGGGCATCGCACGTTAGTCATTATGATGGGAACTACGTTTCTCTCACACAGTCGCTCCCAGGCCTGGGAAGCAAAACTGAAACCAGACTGATTACAGAACGAGTGTGCCAGTCAAGTAGCATGCACTGCAAATGTGCTGAATTTGTATTCCCTGTATGTCCATTTCCATTTCACTGTGTTCAATACCATGTTTGCCATCCTCATGCACACCACATGTAACACCATACTCCTTATGTTTACTTGTTAAATTTCCTTGCCCTCACTGCCACATTGCTGTCCAGTGCCTGATCTATCGATGGCCCGATGGGTTTGTGTTGGACTGTTCATTAGCTCCTGCCATAAGAGATTATTCATGTGTCACTGCTAAAGCAGCCAATGTGGTTGGCTCTTGTGACGAGAATGTCTCTGCAGATGTGGAGTATGCCATTATTGTTGTTTCTATTTTGTTGCCTTCATACCCGGTGTGCCAGGCACAGACGGTTCATTGTTGCCTGCCAGAGCACTGTTGTTTGTGGGATCTTTGCTCTTGAAAGTATTGTCCACACCATTCTTCCTGCATTTGCAGCTTGTTGCACTGTACTTTGTCAACATATTCTTGCAGGTTGGATAGATGCCCACTGCTGTTACAAGGAAAACGTGGCTGCCTTGCTGGCCCCAGAATTGAGTTTGGTCTTTTTGGAGGCTGGCTTGCTTGTGGGATGGATATCCAGAGTGACATTATGGCATGACCATACCCATCTGATCACTTGACAAGGGATGCCCGCTGTGTGTGTTGCCAGGATATGTTGACTATGAGCTTCGAGAGAAAGGGGGGCAGTCGATCGTGCGAACAAGCACATTAGAGCAGTACATAGATGCCGTTGTTAAGGCCACACTACATGATGGCATCGAGCTCCAGGTGCAGGCCTTCAGGGAAGGATTTGAGGAGGTTTTGCCGTTGGAGGTTCTGGATTGCTTCTATGAGGACGAGATGGACGTGCTACTGCGCGGTGTGCAGGAGCCATGGACGGTTCAGAAGCTGGCAGACTGTGTGAAATGCAACCATGGGTACACAGCACAATGCCGGGCTGTCCAATGGTTTCTGGAGATTGTGTCTGAGCTTCGGGGCATGGACCAGAGGCGGTTTGTGCAGTTTGTGACAGGTAAGGGCGATGGCAGAAGCAGAACGATCGTGGAAAAGGTTGCAGGAAAGCAGTTGACTGCAAGGGGGTTCCACATTTGTTGTTTTGTCATGGGTGCACTCCCAGAACCATGACCCAGAACTCATGTTCCTCTTCTCTTTCCCAGCAGGCTTGCTGCGACAATATGAGTCGTAATGGTAGTTGGTGCAAATCGACATGGAACTCTATGGGAGGCATGGCTGTCAGTTCCTCAGAGCTCCAGCCTCTGCGCAGAAGTGAAGGTACTCTTCTGCGCTCCAAGTCCCCAAGGCGGATTGTTTCCAGCGTTTGCAGGACTGTCGTCTGTCACACCATCTGGAGTGGGACACTGACGGCAAGCTGGTGTGCTGTCTCCAGGGTCGCCACGCCTGCCACCAGGAGGCCTGGCCAGTCTTCACCCACCCTTGACGGTGGTGAAGAAGACACAGGCGACACAAGGTTCTGAAGGCACGTCGGCGGGTGGCACATCCCAGGATGACTCTCAGAACCTCACACTGCCCTCCGTGGCGACTTGTCAGAACTACTTCAAGCTGCCAGATTACGCAAGCAAGGACATCATGCGTCGCCAACTCCTGTTTGCCATCACCGAGGGTCAGAATTCTTTCGACCTGACGTGACGCATGTTAAGGGTGGCAGCTGTTGGGCTGGCGTGGGAATGTCCTGCATCTGGATCTTTGTGCAAATGCTCCCTGGCACAAGCATCTCGTGAAACAAGGAATGTGCAAGTGCTGTTGAAAATGGTCGTGCTGCAGGGCGTTGCTCAGGTCCACGGAGTGAACAGCAGACACTTCAGTTGCCGAAGGATTAAAGGGTGTTTACTTGCTATCTTTGGGATGGGGCGTTCTGCATGGACGTTTCGCCATCTTCTTTGGGTGATTCCCATGCTACTGGTCGCCTTTGCAATGGTGGCCGATTTGATGTTTCGATTTTGTGGTTTAGTTGGGAGGGAATTTCATGAGGCTGAATTGGTTAGATTGGAACATTGGGGTGTACAGTAACTCTCTGTCCATGGCTCTGCGCCTTGACATGTCATGCTGGCTGGCATGCCTGTGTGTCCCCGTGTACCACCTGTAAGGATAACACATGAACAAGTCGGGAATTTGGGAGGCGTCAAGGAGCATCGCCAGCTTCAGCTGTGCAAAGGAGGCTTGTTGCGTTCTTGTGGCCATATTGTCGATTGCATTGTACACATAACAAGCTGGACGCCCCGTGTTTGGGCATTAGTTGCGCCTTTGAACGTTTGGCCAAGGCAAACATGCTACACATCGTGAACAGTTTGCCGACCACCACCAGCACCGTCTCGCCAACACCTGTTGTTAGCGAGGCTGTTCGCGTTACCGCAAAATGGACTGTAATGAACAGCCATCTTTGCCTCTATGGTACTCGTCCTGGTGCGTTCACAACCATGTCGGATGACCCCACTGAATGGGATGGCCAGAGTATGCAGCCGTTTCGGTCATAGAAAAGGCATTTTCCATCAGTGCTTTAAAGTAGTTTGAACACTCCAGTGTGGATGCAAGAGAGGCACAAGAAAGTGCTGCAAAATCCGCAGCACACCATATGAAAATGGAGCTGCATTGAGTGAGTCAGAAATGAGCGAGTAGGTTGAGTAATATTCAGTAGTTGGGATGCCGGAAAGATGATGTGCCGCATCCTTGAGCACTGAGATTGCACGCAGAGCATTGCAGCACCCTGGGTACGCGAGCAAGGGCAGTCAGCGGGATCCCATCTGATGCACAGGATGAGGCAACGAAGGACGCGGCAGGGATGGCGCGCGGAGCCGTTTTGCTTGCACGCCCGGCTGTGTGAGGCCGAAAACAGCGTGACGAAAGGGTCGCAAACCCTGGGAGTGTGGCACCGAGAGCTGGAATGAAAGCTCGCACAGGCAGGCTGCCGGTTGACCAAGTGGAACATTGGGAGGCTGCTCGATGGGCCCCCGGAGTGGAGGATCGAGTGCTCCATCAGGCGGTATAAGACGGCGGTTGACCGCCAAGCTACCTTTCCTCTGCTGTCCGAATACACCTGGCCTCGCTTGGTTATACACGAACGAGACAGAGAGGTGTAGGAGGTGCCTGATCGTGGGATGAGCACAGAAGTTCAAATCGAACAGACCAGGGTGAGCCCGCTGGATTAGGAGCTCCGTGTGGAGGTCTGCAGCACGCTGGAGAGGGCCGCTGAGCATCGCCGAGAGCGGCGCTAGATGGATTTGTTTACCGGCGCCCCCTTCCGTGAGTTGCAGGGAGGATTATGGCTTGGCTCTCGACGTGAGGCGCAATGCCATTGCGCTTTTCGGTGGCGTGCCAGACAAAGGCCCAATCGGAGATCCGGTGGGGCGTGAGGTTCAACGTCTCATGCTAGACCAGCACAGCATGGATTACGGAGGGCAAAGGCAGGAAGCAAGAAGAAGCCTGGATTGTGTGGGATGACGAGTGTGCGGACCATGTGCCCAATAGATGGGTGCCAGGCCGTTTCACCAAGAGGTTGTTGTGGGGCCTTCGGACGAGAAGGGTAGCTCAGAGTCGGATTGTGAGCCGGCGGAGCATGGATCAGGTTCGGGTAGTTAGTGTTAGGGTTGTGGATGAACAAGAGTAGAGTTCTTGGTTTGAAGGGGTACCCAGCACCGGAGTAGTTAGCTCCAGAGGAATACCGTGGGGCCGGCGTAGACTTTGTGGTGAAGTTCTGAGTGCGGGACGTGGGGTGACATTTGGCATGAGCGAGAAGGGGACACGATAGGCTGCAAGGGTATTTAATAAGTGGAGAACTGAGCGTACAGTGTCTCGTTGTCGACCAAGCCCGGACGAACCTATAACATGCCCTTGCAGTTTGCTTGTTGTGCGCGTGCCACCCACGAGCTCGTACAAGCTGACATGGAGGCTGGCTGTCTATGGAGCATGCTCGGAGTACCCAGACTGAAGGGGGTGGACAGGACGCGACCCCCATGACCATCAAAATCTCGCCGAAAGTCGTTTTGACTGGTTGGGGAAGGTAGGGGTGCACAGAGGGGCATGAACGTGTGTTTTAACCGAGACTAGGGCAAATCCTCACCTGCGACCGACGGCGATCCGGAACGTTGGGTAACTTAGCATGAGTTACACGATGGCCTGGTGCTGGGTCGGACATAGAGTGCATGTTTACATTCAGTAGGTGCTTGCATGAAAGGATACTAAATTGGAACATGGTGGGAAGGTCTGGGAAAGAGTACTGATTATGGGGCTGGAACGTGCAAATAGTTACTAATCCATCTTGGTTACTGATTCATGCTGATTGAAGTACAGTGTATTGAATGTGTAAGCTTGCATGGTAATATGCAAGGCCAGGTCACAAACTGTATGAAAGTGGCGGTTATGTAAGAAGGACCAGTAAGAATATATTCGGCATAATTTGTTGTGTATCTCTAACAAAGGCCGGTATGCAAATATGTGTACATATTTTTTGGTGATGTTGCTATTTATATGACCGAGGGTAGCAGGTTCCTTTCTGGAACTGCGTTGACCGCCACCTGCACTACTGCGAGTATAATGGGAAATGTATTGCTGCCTATTTTTAGATCACGAATGCAGCCACTGCACGGGTGTACTGTAAAAATGCCACGTTGGCTTTGTTGTTCAAACTAGAGGTGGCCACTCAAAGATGCCATCCGGTCCGTTAAGTTCGGTTCGTTAATTTTTATCAGCTGTCCGTTAAATTCTGTTAAAGAAAAAGGGAGAAAAATTCAGAAAAAACGAAAAAAATCCAAAAAAATCGAAAAAAACCCAAAAAATCACAACAACTGCGGCTAGTTGAAAATCTAGTATGCATAGGTTGAAATAAAATACAAACATACTCTCTAATAGCGAATTCCATAAACTATAAGTATGAATAAAACCCAAAATCCCCAAAAAATCCAAAAATCCGTTAATTTTTGGTTAATTTTTGTCTTTTTTCGTTATTTTCCGTTAATTAATGGAAAATTAACGGAAATTAACCTCTGTCCGCTATTAACGGATCCGGGTGGCCACCTCTAGTTCAAACGGCGGAGTACAACCACTGCACATTTAGTGAATCATCGTCATCCGTTGCTGATGGGACAGTGCCCATCCGGAAATCTCCCATTTGCACTTATCTTCCATCATCGTTCTCCTTTTTATTGCCATTTTTAGAGAGTAGTGGGACAAGGCCTTAAGCCTTCAAAGCTGACTGTTACGCGCACCAGCCTGATGTGGGAGACGTCCTACTAATGGCCCTTGGTGTGGGGGACGCCCTGCCCAAGGCACGTACTATTCCTCACCCACTGTAACCTTTATCCATATTAGGATACGGGAGTAGGAGGGGTGGTCCCGCCTAGGTGCCTTGTAAGGACCTAGGTGCCCGGCGAGGCGGGTCCGCGGCTCAAAGAGGGCAGGAACCCCACACCCACATCCTATTCGTAACAATTGGTTTCGGAGCCGCCTGAGGGTGGCGGCCACGCTTCCACCTGGGAGCGCGCGAGAGTACAAGACGCCGAAGCCCTTCCCCGGCCTCCTCCATGGAGGCCGAGGAATCGGAGGAACAAGCCCGGGATGGGCAGGGGGAAGAACAAGCCCGGGATGGGCAGGCGATCGATACAGCCCGGGATGGGCAAGGAACTGAACAAGCCCGGGATGGGCCAGGAGGTGTAACAGTCCGGGAGGACATGGCTGGACCCTCCACAGCCACATCGGCACCCGCAGCAGAAGATGAGCTGATGGAAGAAGTGGATACCCCGCCGGCGGCGGAGAAGACACAGGAGCAAGACCAGGACGCTGAGGCGGCGGCAACGTTGCTGAAGATCCCTGGTATCAGAGAGCTCCTGCAAAAGATGGCGGATACCGCGGCCGAGAAGGCGAGAGCGAAGCGGGATGAAGAGACCGCCGAGAGGATCGCCTCGCTGGAGATCGCCGTCAACAAGGCCAAGAAAGAAGCTCGAGAGAAAGAGCCGGCCATGAAGAAGGCGAAGCAGCAGAGCCGCGAGGCACAAGAAGCCAAAACCTCCGCCGAAGACCAGGTCAAGGCGTTGAGTGACCGCCTCCTGAAGCAAAAGCAGCGGGCCTAGGAGGCAGAAGAGAGAAGCGCCCAACAGGTGGTGCCAGCTGTGAGGGCCCCCAGTCCGTCGGAGTTGCCCATGCCAACCATTCCAGAGGAAGACTGGAAGGTTGCTGGCAAGCAGCGCTCCAAGCGGAAGAGTCCATCGCCAGGTGAGCGGCCGATGGAAAGTGAGAAATCTCCATATCAAGGCCGGGAGGCCAAAGCCTTAGGGCGAGTTGAGAGAATGCAAGGCCGGGAGGCCATAATTGGAGCCCTCGGAGGCCTGCGCTACCAGAATGGGGGCCGGGTGAAAGCTCAAGGGTGCTGGAGTTCGTTCCAGACACTCGAGATCCATATAGCCGGCAACCACCGTGCCGTGCAATGTGGACAAAGTTCCACACTGATCTCGTCGATGAGCTTGACGAGGGATGGCGGATGGCCGCCGACCAGTTTGGAGAAAGGTTAACCACCGCCAGACTGGTTAGAATACAAAGGTGGTATGGTCCTCGAATGGCAGATCAAATTGCCAAAGAGGACCCAAATTGGCCAGAAAAGATGGCCTTTGCGCTCAGGCATATCCCGGAACCATGGGACTTGAGCGAGGGGAGTCCAGAGAGACCAGACCCTAATGATCCCCACGAGCGGTGGGAGGAGATCTCGGAATTGTCGTTCTCATCATGTGCTTCTCCTTTGCCGGGTGATATGTCAACCCGTGCACAAGTGCATAGGATGGAGAAGGAGAGACGACGGATTCGTAATCGAGATCGTTTTGCTCGGGCAAAGAAATTAGACGAGCAAAAGGCCAGAAAGGCCAAACAGCGGAGAGAGTTGAAAGCGCTGCGACGTGAGCGGGATCGTCAATTGAATCCTGAAAAGTATGAGCGTAAGCGAGCTCACAAACGCCAGCGCAAGGCCGAGATCAAGCGGTTTTTCTCCGCAGGAGGCAGCCAAAAGGCGCAGCGCCTGGAGGTACAGC